CAGCTGACGTCGCTCAAGGACGACACGGGTCAGATCAGCCTCGCGGGAACGTACACGGTCGCTGAGGTGGGAACACTCGTCGAGAAACTCGACAGCCTCGAGTTGCTGCTTATGGTGAAGCTGAACCGACTCGCCCACGCCGTCAGCTCGTTCAACGAGAGCACCGAAGCGAAGATTTACTCGATCGTTGAGGGCGTCGCCATGCTAGAGCGACTCATGGGCGAGCAGTACGCAGGCGTTGATAGAACACTCGACGCGCTGCGGCTGCTCTCCGAGAAAAACGCGCTGGCGATTGTCAGCAACGTTTCCATGGTGAGGAAGGAGATAAGCTCCGGCGTTGCCGTGCTGAGAGGTGACATCAACGCCAGCGTTGCCATGGTGAAAGACGAGATAAGCACGAGTGTTGCCATGGTAAGAGATGAGATTGACAGCGGCATTGCCGTGGTGACAGACGACATTGGCGCGCTCGCCAACCTCACGCTGCGCGACATCAGCAGCGTGCGTCGGCGCATGCGCAGCGTCGACCATCTTCAGCGTCAGGTGTCGACCAAGGAGCAGGCGCTAGAGGGCAGCCTCTCTGCGCTGCGCGCCGACATCACCGACGTGCGTCGCAACGCGAGCTCACGCGACGCCGCGATGCGTGACGTCACAGCGCAGCAGGAGCGCGCCGACGTCTCCATCAGCGAGCTGCGGCAGCGCGACGACGCGCTACATCAGGGCGCTGTGGTGCTGCGGGAAGAGGCAGCGGAGAGCAAGCGCGAGGTGGAGCGGAGGCTGAGCGAGCACGAGGCGGCGGAACGTCTGAAGGAACGTTCGATAAAGGACGCGCTGAAGAAGCACAGGAAGGATCTCGTTCACCAGCTGGACGACATCCGTGCGTCGCAGGACGAGACGACGTCGGCGGTCATCGGCGTGATGCCGCGGCTCGAGGCTGCGATTGACAACGTCGCTGGTCGGATTAACGTCACCGACGGCGAGGTGGCGGCGCTCGGACGCAGCGTCGGCGGCCTGCAAGAGGAGCTGGCGACGCACGCCGAGCTGCATGCGAGGAATCACTATGCGGGGCAGACAGTGTTAGAGCAGCTGCGGCGGCAGCAGGCGAGCGACGGAGCGCGCATTGACAACCAAACCGACAACCTCGCACGCAGGGTCGGCGAACTTGACCGCGCGTCCGCTGACGCAAACCGACGGCTCGCCGACGTCGCCGACATCGTCACCGACGTTGTCGCATCAATCGACAACCTGACGCACAACGACGACGACAACGACGTCGACTCACGACTCGCGCGGCTGCACGCCGACGTCGAGACGGCGAGGTTGGCATCGGAGAAGTCGTCGTTCGCCCACCAGGAGGCGCACGCGACGCTGACAAACGTCCGCTCGACGGTGAAGTCGCTGCAGAATAACCTGGAGCGCACGCGTGGCAAGATCGCCTTTACGACGCAACTCGCGCAGAAGTCTCTCGCGCGGACGGACGCCTTAGAAACCCGCGCCAACGCGTCCACAGTGGACGAACTACGCACGCGCGTGGCGACGCTGGAACCCCTGGTGGCGGCGGACGGCGCCGACGTGAGGCGCCTCGAGGGAGCGCTGACGGCGACGCAAGGCAACGCGTCGCGCCTCGCAGACGACGTGCGCAACGTGTCGGCGGCCGTCGACGCGACGCACGGCGCCATCTCGCGGATGAAGCGCGAACTCGACGACTCGATGACGGGCGTGCGTTTCGTGCACGATGGGCTGCTCGAACAGGAGGAGAAGATGCGGCGGCAGTCTAAACTACTGACGAACGCCACCGAGCTGTTCGCGCACACGGAGACGGCGATGAAGCACCAGGTGGCGCAGCTGTACGGGCGCGTCGACCTGACGGTGAAGGCGCAGGGCGAGGCGATTCACAAGCTCTACAACTACATGCGCAAGACGCGCCGCGACGTGCGAGTCATCTCGCGAGAGATGACGTCGGCGAGAAAGAACGTGACGTCGGCGCTCGAGGAGATACAAGCGGAGATCGACGTCGTTGAGCACGAGGTGGAGCCACTGGCGCAGAATATCGAGCAGCGCGTGAGAGACATACAGAAGAACTACAGGCAGGAGTTAGCCATCATCACATCAGATATCCGCCGCTCACAGGACGACTACACGGGAAAGCTGCTGCAGATTCAGAAGCTACTCAGTGAAAACCGCCCAGGTCAGAACGATAATCAAGATACAGGAGCTGACGGCGCATACGGTTAATGCGAGCGCTTACACGGTTAACCCCGTTAGCTGTCACCTCTATAGAACGGTCCCGTGTTAGCTGTCACCTCTATAGAACGGTCCCGTGTTAGCTGTCACCTCTATAGAACGGTCCCGTGTTAGCTGTCACCTCTATAGAACGTCCGCCGTGTAGCGTCACGCTCTATAGAACGGTCCCGGTTAGCCTAGCACCTCTAATAGACGGTCCCGGTTAGCTGTCACCCTCTATAGAACGGTCATCCCGTGTTAGCCTGCACCGATCTATAGAAGGTCCCGTGTGTAGCTGTCACCTCTATAGATACGGGTCCGTGTTACTGTCCACCAGTTCTAAGACGGTCCGCCGTGTTAGGCTACACCTCTAGTAGAACGGTCGTGTTAGTCTGTCACCTCATAGAACGGTCCGCGTAGTTAGCTGTCACATCTATAGAACGGTCACCTCTCTATATAAAGGACGCTTTTTCTTGAGTAGCAGTGATACGGTTTAACCACTTCTATAGACAGGACACCTGTCTATAATGAACGTTTAAGGAGCTTACCTTAAATAGCAGTAAGATAGCAAAATCCTCTATATAACGGACACCCGCCTGTAATGAATGTTTTTTGGGGGTTCCCACGAAAGAGAGTAATGCAGTGAAATCACCTCTATAGAACGGGCATCTGTCTATTAAGGACGTTCAAGATGTTTTCCCTCGAGTGATTCTTATATACTGGTTGGCAGTAGATCTGCGTCTGCGTTTATTAGTTATGGTTTTCTCTATATTAGTTTTCCAATTAAGTTAGTACACCAAGTAATTAATTAAAATTACTTATATATTATTATATATTATTATATATTATAATTAGTTATTATATATTATATTTGAGTGCTGAATATTTACTAATATTTTATTCGAAATCTCCTCCTCCTCCTCCTCCGCCTCCTCCGCCTCCTCCACCTCTTCCTTCTCCGGCAAACAGCAGCAGGACGCGAGCGGCGGTAAAGATCGTCGCCTTCTCCGCGCGCGTCGCCTACAAGCAGATGCAGCTATCGTCGCCGACGGGCACCATCGTCTTCCACGAGGTCGTCACCAACTACGGCGACGCGTACGAACCTTCGACAAGCCTTGGCAGTTCAGCGGCGCCCGCGACGGCCTGCTACAACTTCCGACAGTGAACGCTGATGTCGTCGCGGGCCGCAGCGCGAGCGGCGGCCCTGCGCGTCGGACGCAAGAACGTGCTGCTGCTGTTTAGCGGCGGCAACGGCCACCACGGCATGGGCTCGAACTGCGGATCGCGTGTGGAATGAAGCGCGACGAGGCGGCGTCGGTGACTGCCTACTACGGCGGCGTCAACTACGTCTATCACCTGTGGACGACGTTCACGGGCTACCTGCTCGACGGATTCCGCCTGACAAGGCCGCGCGTAGCCAGTCCGATCACAGAGTAAGAAGGCAAGAGAGACATCTTATAATCAGGTTATATCAGGTTATATATATATATATATATATAACAAGGGTAAGATAACAGCACCATATCTGATTATCTAAATCTCGATATCCTGATACACACGCGCGTACACGCACACACACGCGCTCACGCGCGCACACGCACACACACACACACACACACACACACACACACACACACACACACACACACACACACACACATACACTCCATTGTTTGAGAAGCAGCATTGGCCATGATCATGAAATATTATTTTTACGGCATTTTTAGTATGAATGAAGAATATACATTGATACACACATCATAGCGTGTTATGAACTTCTTTTATTATAAAACTATATAGAAGTAAACAATCTGTGCACAATCTTAACCAATTTATGTATGCATTCGTGTGCATTCGTGTGCGTCGTGCGTACGCGTGTGTGCGCGTTGGGGAAAGTGTCCGTGCGTGTGCGTGTGCGTGTCTACATCCATTCATGTGCATGCTCTGTCTACAAACTTACACAAGATCAAACAGCAACATGTTTTTGACTGCATTTTTTTATGAAGGCTACATATCATCGCGACAATAATGCAGCTCTAGGCAAGCATTTTTGTAACAGGGCGAGTAAAAGCCCATGTGCGTTCTGCCAAGTTAAGATCAGTGAGATAGACATATTCATAGTGGTGTCTTGGTTAAGTCGAGTGATTGCCTCGATGAACAGCCTTGTACGACGAGAGAATATAATATTATGTGGTTTGCACAATCTACAAGAGATCATAATGTAGGTTGACTCGTCAATATCGCGCCGATACCATTGACGATAACCTATTTCTCGAACCGCAGAGAAGTGTTTGTTGGCTATGTATGTTTTAAACAGGAAGTATTAGAGTAAGTTTCGTGCTACGTGTACAGGGTGTATAAGCAATTTTTCGATGGTTATGTATTATGTAAAGTTTCTCAGCGTACGCCATCTAGGTGCTGTGTAGCCACACGGTGCGTGTACTTTCACCTTTCAACCGTCTCTGTTCTTTGATGTACAGGTAGAGGTGAAATTCGTACGCAACACGTGCGTCGGTACGTTGTCTATTGTGATACATAAAGCCAACGTGCCAAAGCTATAGGTAATACTGTTACGTTTTGTAGGCAAATGTTAATCAAATATAACCGTCCATTTACACCAGATACACGTTGTGTCACCTCGTGGTGTAAACTTGTTTAAAAACTTACGTTTATTAGTTTAGCAAACGTACATTTGTGTAATCTGAAGCCTCTTGGTATCATGGTATGACGTTGCTACATATCCTGACTACAGGGACGATGAAACAAAGTAACATGGCACGTAAATGTAGTAACAACATAAAATGTTTTTTATTAAATCTGCAATTTCGGTCCCCAATCGTTTCTGCATTAAATATACATTCGGCTGCTCGAGGCAGCTACTCGTAAAAATATCTGCAATAAAAATATTGTTGTGTACTTGCGTTGTATTATAAACATGGCCGCCGAAGATGACGACGCTAATATAATTACATTTTGGTAAGTGGGTCCAACGGCCACTTCCCACGGTCAAGGCGTATTTGACAGCTAGCCGCGTACACTGATATAATCGTTCTCTAATCACCCACTGAACTCGCGTTGATTCCTTATTTACACATTATTGCTTATGTCGATGAAAGTAACGGCCCGGCGAACACCACCACAATGTCACTGTGCCTAAAACACAACTGAGAGAGCGAGAGAGAGCTTCATCTAACGTTACTTTACGCACGGCGCTAAAATTACCAGTATATTCTACGTATTCGATTCTAATCTCTTATAGAATAAAATGTCTTATACGACGGCAGGTATAGACGTCACCTGAGAGCGATAGTTGCTGAACAAAGCTCACGCACCAGACGCAGTTAGAGGGTCTTCCCTGCATATAATCATACTATTATAAGCGCACGCGAACGCGCCAGCACACATGTACATACAGATTTCGTACACACGCACACGCACGCGCACACACACACACGCATACACACCCGCACACACATATATCCATACACTCAAATGTACGCACGGACGCACGCACACGCACGCACACAGACATTACACGTGGTGCAACACCAACTCGTAGCGATTTTCCGTTGCGCGCAGCGTTCGCATGAACACGCCGAGAGAGGTCGCCAGGTTCGCGGCCTGCTGCAGCAGCGGTTGCATGCCGTCCCTCGCCGAGCGACCGCCGATGACGTCATCGGCCGCCGCGACGGCCGCCTTCACCGACAGAAGCGCGGCTCGGAACGTCTGCGCGACATCACGCGCCTGCGCGGCGAGATCAAAGGCTAGCGCGGGGGAGGGGATCGTGGGGAGTAGCACCCCGGCAGAGTAGAGCATGCGCGATAGCAGCGCCATGCACGTGTCCAGCTGACAGCTGACGCCGCCGTCGCCGTCGAGGCCGCCGTCGACGCTTCCGCTCTTCATCGCTAGGCTGACGAGTAGCTTCGACTCGGCGACGAAACACTTCGACGCAGAGAAGAGCTGCTCGCGAAACACGTGCTCATTGCGCAGCGCGACGACAGGTGGCGCCGTCGGTGCGCTGTCGACGTGCTCCTTAATGAGAATGTCGATGTCGTGGTAGGCGACGTCGAACGCGTGCGGCCCGTCGTACAGCCGCTGTCCGCCGCGGTGCAGGCTGTCCGGATCCGATAGGTGTCGCTGGCGGTCGTAGGGCGCCGCGCCGCGGCGTGGCGAGTCGTCGGCGGGGCGAAGGTCGCGCGCGTTATAGACGCGGTTCTCAGAACGCGAGCGCGGCGGTCGCACGGCCACCGTGCCCGCCTTCTGCTGCGCTCGCTGCTTCACCTGCCGCACGCGCATGCGCGGCAGCCGGCTGCTCGCCGCGTCGCCCTCTAGCGGCAACGTCACGTCGAAGTCCGTGAAGTCGACGGGCGACGGGGAGCGCGTGGAGAACTCGACGGGCCTGCCGCCGCCGCCGCCGCCCCGGTGGTATCCATCCCACTCTATCGGCAGCCTGCAGCGCTGCTGCTGCTGCTGCTGTCCCGCGTGACTGACCGTGTAGTACTTGGCGCGACGCGAGGCAGAGATGAAGGAGTTAACGGCCGCGCCGCCGCCGCTGCTGCCGGAGGAACTAGCGGGACTCAGGCTGTTAACGTCGACGACATGCTGCTGATACTGCTGCTGTTGCTGGTACTGCTGTTGCTGCTGCTGCTGTTGTTGTTGATACTGTTGCTGCTGCTGATGGTGCTGTTGTTGCTGGTGCTGATGCTGCTGTTGTTGTTGCTGGTGCTGGTAGGGCGACACGTACTGCAGCTTGCGGGGTCTCCCCTGCCGCCGCTCCTCGAATAGTGGAGTATTCGGAGGAGGAGGCTGCGGATCGGAGAGCGCGTCGTCGACGGAGCACGACCGTTGCCGTGGCGACGACATGGCGGGTCGCTCACCCAGCAGATGATCGGTGGAGAGAAACCTCTTCATCGGTTGCTGACTCGTCGCCCTGCCTCCGCCAGACGGCTGCGGCAGGCTGCTCGCCGCCTGAGGGCGCTGTGGGAGCTCGCTGCGGTTTGTTGTCGCTGTCGTTGTCGGGGCGCTCGGTGACACGCGCTGAACGTTCGCCCCCGCCTCGCCGACTCCGGGCTTCGGTTCCGGACGCCGGAATCCGAATCGGTCGTTGCTGAGCCGGCGTATGCGGGGGTTGCTGATGCGAGGGTGCTTTGAGGTGGATGAGGTAGCGGAGGCGGCGGCCAGCGAGGAGGATGATGATGACGAGGACGAGTAGGAGGGAGGCTTCCTCGGGGAGGTTTCCGATGCAGAGGAAGCCGTGGGCTTCCTCGCTGGGATCTCGTAAGTCCTTGGCGGCGACGTCACGGCTGGCAGCGGCGGCGGCGGCGGGCTCTGCACATGGTGAGACTTTACTGCGCTACTCTGCCTGCCGTTTACAGTCCGCTGTGGAGATAGACTCCCGGACGAGGAGCCGCGCGTTGGCATCTTACTCGGCTGTGGCAGCTGCGATTCCTCGGTCGGACGCCGAGGCATCGGTTTCGCCATGGCAACGGGTTTCGCCATGGCAACGGGCTTCGCTATAGCAGCAACCTTCGACGGCGCGGTCGCTCGCGTCGTGGCGCGTCGCGGAGGCGGCACCGGTTTCCCGGCGTTCGCAAACGATTTCGTCTCCACCCGGCACGCCGGCAGCAGCGACGGTCTCGCGGTGGGTGGGTTTGCAGCGCCCTCTTGCGTTGCGTTTACGTTCGAACGACTGCAGGCCACCTCGTTAACTTTCACGCTCTTTGCGTCGGCGTCAGGCACGGATCCGTCCATACACCGGACGTCGTTTGCCGTCGGTCGCGACTTGGCGACGATTGGTGGCGCGGCGAGTTTGCGGGCGGGTCTCGGAATGACTCGACGGAAGTTCGACTTGCCGACCTTGCTGTCGCCGCTGCCGTCGGCCTTGCTGCTTGTTGACGGCTGGATACGTATAACGGTAGCGAGCGTGTTGACCGAGCCTGCGGTGGCTTCATCCTGATGAAACTGTGGCAGCAGTTCTGGAGATTTCTCGCCTTCACTGCCTGAAATCTGCCTCGGTTCACTACTTAAAGGCTGCCTACTCTCACTGCCTAAAGGCTGCCTACTCTCACTGCTTGAAATTTGTTTAATCTCACTGCTTGAAATCTGTCTAATCTCACTGCTTGAAATCTGTCTAATCTCACTGCCGAAATGTTGCACAACGTCATTGCCTAAAGGCTGCCTGCTCTCCCTGCTTGAAATCTGTCTAATCTCACTGCTTGAAATCTGTCTAATCTCACTGCTTGAAATCTGTCTAATCTCACTGCTTGAAATCTGTCTAATCTCACTGCTTGAAATCTGTCTAATATCACTGCCGAAATGTTGCACAACGTCATTGCCTAAAGGCTGCCTGGTCTCTCTACCTACAGGCTGCATACTCTCACCACCTGAATTCTGCCTAATCTCACTGCCTAAAAGCTGCCTACTCTCACTACCCGCTGGCTGCTTATCTTCGCTGCCTGAAATCTGTCGGACATCACTGTCTGTAGCCTGTGCACCCGTACCCTGAGTATCAGCGGTCGGGCTCTGCGCAAGCTCGGCGTAGCCTCTACGCGCGTGATCGCCGCTGCGCAGGGTTGCATCTTCGAGCTGCATCATGCGCGAGGCGACGGGGCTGTTGCGTTCGTTGCTGGGTGGCGGCGGCACGATGAGCGAGGTGATGTAATCATCAATGCTCTGCATCATCGATACGTCGAGCATCGGTGCTGGCAGGTCAGGTGTGACGTCATCGCCTGCAACGCAGCCGGAATGAATAATAATAATAATAATAATAATAACAATAATAAAATCAAAAAGTGCAAAAAATCGCACTACTGGGAACAGCACACATCCTGCGCAAAATTCTGGATTGAATCGCTGGGACACGGCCAACCCAGAAGCCACCGGCTAATGCCGCGATCCACTTTGGAAATAATAATAATACTATTATTATTATTATTATTAAATATATAAACAATAAATTCTATAAATGATAATAATCTCATATGACCCAATAAAGAAATAATATAATATCATAGGTGTATAATAAATAATGAAATGCGAACAATAATTAATAAATGGTTATATAAAATGAAGAACGTTGTAAGTTAATAGATGGTTAGAAACCGTGCGATACGAGAGCGACTGTTAAACGTCAAAATAAACATGAAAACGATGTAAAGTAGCGCTACGGAATGTTTCGATGGATTACGACAGCTAGCCGACATCATTACGGCAGTATTTACTAAAAGGTCAAATCGAAAATGACATCTATGTATAACTCATTATATATTAACAGAATCAAAATAGAAAAACAAAACAATTGTGCAAACGCTATACCGATACAAAATATTTCTACTGTGAAGCAACGCAGTTGTACTGATATATATTATATATACAATGTATATATATATATATATAACGCAGGCTCAGAACGGTGACGCAAGAGCTACACCTTGATCTGACGTTCATCTCCGGTACCAGGTTTATACTCTAGTATCTCTTACCTAGTTGCTTCTCTTGACTCGTCGTTGCCGCCTGCGTGCTTCCATCCATGAACTCTCCTGGCGGCTGGCACACCTCCGCATGCTCGCTTCCCAGCCCCTCCGGAAGAGGTGGCGGTGGCAGAGAGGAAGCTGGCGGCGGCGGCGGGGGAGGGGGAGGAGGAGGAGGTGGAGGAGCGGCGGCGGGCGTCAGGTCGATGATGTCATCGCCGTCGCTCTGCTGCAGCAGGTGAACTTTGACCTCTCCCGCTTCGCAGCATCCGTCGCTGCTATCGAGCGCCGCCATGAGGAAGCTGCTAGTCGACGCCACCGAGGCACGCTTCATCTTCTCGGCGTCTCCGCGCAGACGCTCAGGAAGCCCCGCCGCTCCGTAGATGTCCGCATCCAGCGCTGCCATCAGGAAGCTGCTCGTCGACGCGATCGACGAGCGCTTCTGCTTCTCCTCGGAGGCTGAGGACGAGGAGGAGGAGCAGAGGCGCGGAGAGGCGGGAGGAGAGCCGGAGGAGAGCGACACGCGGCCGTGGGTCGGGCTCTCGCTCGTCGACGTGCTGTACGTGTCCGTGTCGCTCTCCGACGCGCTGCCGCGCCACTTGGCGTGGTGGTGGTAGCCGTTCGCCGTGCGTGGCTGCGGCGTGGGGGAGCAACCGGAGAGAGAGCGCCAGCTAGAGGCGTACTGATCGTGGTTGCTACTGCTGTCGCTGCTGTTGGTGTTGGTGTTGTTGTTGTTGATGATGCTGACGATGCTGTTGGTGTTGTTGTTGTTATTGTTGATGATGCTGACGATGCCGTTGGGTACGCGGTAAGGCTTGGTGTTCGCCACATCGCTCTCACCGTTTACGCTGATATCGTTTTCAACCTGTAGAAAAGTGAGAATGTGTGTGTGACTGACTTGACGACAGTCAATCGAGGAATCGCGTCGGCCGTATAGTTTCGTACGTGCGTATGTCCCATACATACTTATACCTGCAGATTATTACACGAAGAAATTCACGGTTGTTGGATAATTAACACATAACTGATAGATAATGAGGTATCGTTGATATCCATTAAGTGTCAGTATGGTGACATATTTCCCAATCACCCATGACTAAGTTTTGAGTATAATAACCGTCATTCAATTATTCAACATATATCTAGATTTAACTTTCTTTGCTACTCCTCACTAACTTCGTAGCCCAATACCAGCGAGTGATAAGCTTGTCGATGCCACGTTGGGGTATAGCGGCATGCAGCGGACCTGTGTTCACACCTCAACACATGTGTTAGTATTACTGTGATGAGGAGGAATGTGGAGACAATGCAGGCGTTCCCCCCATACACGTGTCTACTTGTCTCTCACCTTCGATGGCCAGCTCTCGTGATCAGAGAGATCTCTCGACAGGTCTACCTCTGCATTGAAACCTGCGTCTCGGTTCTTCGTGTAGTTCCATCCGACACGAATGACGCGGTGGTGACCGGAGTATGCGGGCGGCATCACTGAAACACAGCCAGTGCGACATTATTCTCTTCTACGCGTAATAACTTGCCCGCACGATCGGCAGCGACAGGAAAATATGCCCCCTCGTGATGGAAACATTCGCGGATTAGCGGATTATAGGAGGATTAGAGGACTAGATGTGGTTTAGAGGATTGGAGGAATATAGGAAGATTGGAGGGATAGAGGAAGGTCAGAGTATTAAAGGAAGAGATAAAGATTAGAGGGTTAGAGGAAGGTCATAGGGTTAAAGATAGATTAGAGGTTTAGAGGATTAGATCAAAGTTATTACAAGATACATCGAAAATTTCGCGGATTAGATAAAGCTTTGAATTAAAGGAAGCTTAAATAATTAGAGAAATTAGAGTCTCAGCTCATGTGAGTTTAGATTTGGGGTTCAATTTACACTATAATTGTGAAAAAAAACTACACTATAAACGTTCAGACGCCGCTGCTGCCACGGCACGCAGACTTACGTTTATTGAAGGGAAAGTCGTTGTTAACAACAAACTCGTCGGTATCGTCATCGTTGTGGCCGTTCTCGTACGGGCTGTGCACCGGAAGCGTCTGTCTCGTGGTGATCCCGTAATATCCCTGAACGGAAGCGACGAGGTCGGCGCCTTCCTCCATGCCAACCAAGAAGGCCATATTCTATGGGAATTAACAGCGAATCGGTTAAACCTGGGAAGCTCAATAGAGACTTTGATACAGTTGATTATCACGCTGGGTGATGGCAATGTTTCCTAATTTGATATTATGACACGTGTGTGTGTGTGTGTGTGTGCGTGCGTGCGTGTGTGTGCGTGCATGTGTGTGTTGTGTGTTGTGTGTGTGTGTGTGTGTGTTGTGGTGATGTGCCATGTGGTGTGTGTGTGTCGTGTGTGTGTGATGTGTGTGTGTGTGTGTGTGTGTTGTGGTTGCGCTGCGTTGTGTGCGTGCGTGCGTGTTGTGGTGCGTGCGTGTTGTGCTGCGCTGGTGTTGTATGTTGTGCGTGCAGAGTGGCGTGTTCGTGTGCGTGTGCGTCGGCCGTGTTCGTGTTCTTGGTGTCGTGAGCCTGTGCGTGTGCGTGTGCGCGCGGTGTGTGGTGTGTATGTGTGTGTGTGGGTGTTGTGTGTGTGTGTGTGTGCGTGCGTGTCTGTGTTTGCTGCGTATTGTGTGCGGTGAGCGTGAGCGTGAGCCTGTGCGTGTGCGCCTGTTGCGTTGTGCGCCCCCTCGCCCGCGCCCCCCCCTTCCGCCGTCCGCGTGTGTGTACTGTGAATCGTATGTACATGAAATGACATTTACTGGCGTTTTTTGTTACTGCAATATGCGCTGTAATAAAATTTAAAAATAAATGATGAAATATTTAATGGACGATAATGCATCGTTACGTCTTATCTATGGGATGTCGGTGAGCATACCTTGGCGGAGTCGTGACATTTCATCTCGACACAGTGTATGTACTCTCCTTGTTTGCAGAATGAAATGGCCGCCATGTCCTCGTAGAGCATTAGTACGGTCGGCTGCAGAACCATAAAGAATCGGTATTTCACTGGTAAACCTGCAGGCGCCCGTTGTTAGAAGCATTGTGAAAAACAAAAAAAAAAAACAGTTATTGACTGGTCATCCATCTAACACGTCATAACATTTGCACACGCTTTGAATGTTTTTTGACATTTTTGGCTCATCATGTCACAAACTACTTACTGTGAGTCCGAATCGTGCCCAGTATACTCGCGCTGTTACAGATATAGTAGCGAAGTCGTGATTTAATAAACCCTGATAAAGCTGTGACACAGCACAATTTCACCATTTACTATTTACGTATAGTTAAGGTTCAGTACTTCTGTAAAGCAATTGTCATTGATGCTTTGAGTCAGACACAATTCAGTTATACGTATCGCCCAATAGTTATATTGTACATCAGTACGTGATAATGCTCTGACATAAATGCATCTCTAGTTACGTTAAGTTACGTATAACGTACGGTATACGTATAACGTACGTACGTACTTGTCTAACGTACTAACTACTTACTCGTCTCCTCTCTCTCTCTCTCTCTCTCTCTCTCTCTCTCTCTCTCTCTCTCTCTCTCTCTCTCTCTCTCTCTCTCTCTCTCTCTCTCTCTCTCTCTCTCTCTCTCTCTCTCTCTCTCTCTCTCTCTCTCTCTCTCTCTCTCTCTCTCTCTCTCTGACTCGCACATTACTAAAGCATTACTGCATCGCAAGCACTTCAGCCATTCTAAACATAACATGGCAGCACTCCACATTAAAGTGATATTAATGTAATTCGTGTTTATTCACTATCATGTCGTTATTGGAACGATCTCTGAGTGTCTTCTGTGCAACGTGCACGCGACCGATGCTTACTTACCACGTAGTTCTTTGCGTGGGACAGCTGACAGATACCGAATTTCGGACCAACTGAGATCGCTATGTCGGACTGAGTAGCCTAAACCACAAGAGATAACACTTATTTAGATAAATAAAATTAATCAATAATTCATCGGAGAGTGTTTTTACGCCCTGTAAATAAGGGAACCGCAGTTCGTGATACACGGAAATTGTCGATCAATGCTGCATGAGGAGTTACGGGAAAAATGAAGGTATTAATCTAATGCTGGTAATACCAAACTTATTATTGACACTTATTTCAGCATATACATTCTTTAGCGACATGCACTTACAGTTTGTTGCATTATGTTAAGATTTCAAATGATATTCTAACAGCAAAATATGTTTTACTTGTTGAGAAGCATGAAACATAAGCGTGTAAAAACATAACAACAACAACATAACAAATCTAAGTTTCGATCATGATTTTTAGCACGTAAAACGCGATCATGAAATGGCTCAATTGGCTCATCATAATTAGTAGTTAATTTTTCATTCATTGTATATATATATTACATATATATATATATAGATATTAAGAAGAACTTAGAAGCCTTACGAGTATACTATTAAGAAGTCCGTTTTGGTTATATATCTGGCAATCATCATTCAGGTGAATACCGTGTGAAACATTGGACACGCCGACAGCGATGCACTCACCCTGAGCACGAGGTTGTAATATCTTACGCCGAAAGATGGCAGGTCACTCAGTATTTTCAGGTAGTGAAGCTTAGCCTGTAGTACTGAGAGGTTCTTGTGTCCGGGCGCTGCGAGGCTTTGATTCACCTGCATCGACGTAAACAGAAGCCGACGCGCAGGCCAGCGTACAATAAACAAAAGCTGAATGTATTTCGCTTCATAGGGGAATCCGCATTATTCCAAATTACCAACAAGCGATTAGCTGGATGCCTTGCCCTCTATCCAGTTCATAACGCAGATAGCGCTATGATCCATACGAGTTTAGGAACTTTGGGTGAATATTAGGTAGCCATGATACAGCCACAGATGCGGACACAGGTCAGCGGGGCGATCATATTGCATCGATATAGAGCAATGTCGCCATGAGTTAGACACACCGGGGGAACTTACTGTATAATCACGCAGAACTACTCACTCAACGGGCGGTTAAGCGTGCGAAATTTATTAATTTTCCTTAATGCCCCAAATATCTGTTAGAGCGGAAATACGCTACAGCATATACTGTCAACCCTGTTTTGGCGGTGACCTTTATAGAACGAACACCTGCATATAACAGACACTTTTGGCGTTTTCGTTGAGTGGCAATTATACAGGAAGCCCAACTCTATAGAAAGAACACCTGCCTGTAAAGGACACCTCCCTGTAAAGAACACCTGCCTGTAAAGGACACCTTTGGGGATCCTTTGAGTGCGACTCAAATGCAGGTTTTACCATTGCGCGAATGTAAATGCTAGCCCATAGATTTGACAGCACTGATGTGGTTAATGGCAGGTGTTACAGGTAAACATGGCGCGGTCATGAAGCGCCACCTACCTTCAGATAGTGAGCGAGTGCCTTACGAATCTCCTTCTTCTTGGAGCCACGCAGCACGCTCTCAGGAATATACTTCTCAAAGCCTTGTTCCTGCCTAGACACGAGTAAACGTCCGCACTCAAATGTATATCAAAAAAGTCAAGAAAGAACGATAGTATCTTTCCGTTATTTGCTGTAAACTTCTGCCATTCACGTTTCTATAGGTAACTAGCGCCATGTCGGCATTTATTCGTGCGAGTTGGTTTAATCCGAATTAATACGACTTTATGTCATAAACGACATGCATGCATGAATGAATGAATGGATTGATAGATGAATGAATGAATGAATGAATGAATGAATGAATGAATGAATGAATGAATGCATGAATGCATATAATACACCCGGCTATGTTATCAAATATATAAAGATATGAATGAATGAATATACGAAAATAGTATACAGCCAACTTATCCACGATTTTAAGACACGAATCCATGAATGACCGAGTATACTACAGCCAAGTTATCAATGCATGCTAAGTGTATATAATAAATATATTATATACGCACTCGTAGTCCTTGACGGATATTTTGCCGGTAACGTTGTTGCTGGCCGCTTGCTCCTGCATCTGTAGAGCCGCCAGTCTGAGAATGACCTCGGGCTGTAGTTGCGGATAGAATCGATCTTCCACGACATCCACACAGCACTGCGTATATTATGGAGCACAAGAATGTAGCGGTGTGAAGCAATCATGAGCTATAATCAAAGATGCATGTGTGCTGGTGCGAGATACTTACTATTCGAGTGTGTGTGAGTGTGTGTGAGTGTGTGTGAGTGTGTGTGAGTGTGTGTGAATATCTATACGTATAATATTAATTAATATATATATATATAATAATATACGGCATTGACGCAGACATCATTACATATTTTTCACTGACAGCTTGTATGAAAGGAACAACGCTATCGTAGCCATAGTAGTATATGTATACTTGGAATTTGTATTATAGGTCTCATATATAGCTGGTATATAATATATGTAATAGTATGTATCCCCTAGATATGGTAACATCGCTATTTGTATTTACGAATTTTATCACCGGAAACGTTACGCGCACATGTACGTGTAAACAATGAACTCGCTGCTATCTCATGCTATTATGATAACGACCGCTGCGATTCTGTCTGTCGACGATCTCCTTTGAAATGAACGCCAATCGAAATCTTGAATAAAAAGAAATCTAGCTATTTAAGTATATAAAATATGAGCAATAGGAAGAATATAAAGAATATTTGAAGTTTACGCGGTGGCTGGGCAGTAAATGCGACTATTGATTGCTCCAATGTGTTCAGTGAATTTGAGCCCGTGAACGCGGGTTAAAGTTAGGAGCCAGTTAGTCGTCTCTCAGTCCGACAGCTTAATCTTTAAAGTGGGGACACGTTCGGGTGGCCGTGCGGATC